AGTAGTGACATCTTAATCGATGCTTCTTAAGTTGTGTCGTACTAGATGTCTGAATTTATTATCTTTCTGCCGAAAAATCTCCATGACGTTATCGGCTTTGTGAGCACAGGATAAGCTAGTTTCTCAGTAAATTAGAGTCACAGTATTGTAAATGCTCGGTGTGGCTATAATTTCTACTTGGAACAGTCGATTTGAAGCTGAATATCAATTGTTTTTGAGTGCGCCCAGTATTCATGAGGTGCCGCTACATCAGATGTCAAACAGATGGCAGACGGTGGTATCACACTGCCTATGCGTTCTATACCGCAGGGCGGAAGCGAAAAACGGGACTGACCACGATAGCTATGATTTTAGAATTGCATGGTTCGTTGGCAATATATCGTTTGTAAGAATCATGGGGCACTCTTCCCCATACTGTCCCTCGCAAAAATAGGAAATTTCTGTGCACGATGGGCAATCCTACTTATTGGGTATCGTTCAAAGTTTCTACGGGTTGACACACTGCAGGGACTAAATACACACAAACGAACAGTGAGATCTGACATTCGTTACCGATAAATTTCTCGCAGCGTACCCATACATGATGCCTTAAGAAATTTCGTCCGATCACGTTCTGTGCGCCCGTCTTAACTTCCTGGAGAGTTACTAGTTTTGATACTCCGGTAAACTGCAGTTATTTTTGATGGAACATGACGTACCCGCGATTGCTAATGTTTGAATGATGTCGGCTGATTGGGCTATAATGAATGAGTTCTAGAACAGTCGCTCTCCTGTCGTGTACCAGTAACCTGAGCGAAGTCCGTTGCACTCGGCCATACATACCGACTCTACGTAGATATCAGACAGCCAGTGTACAGTGAGCCTTATTGGACATAAAAGGGTTACACTGATCGATTCAGCTGACTGTGAATTAGAATTCCCGTCGATTTTGGTGGATTTCACGCGGACAGCATTTCATTATAATTAGGGGTGCATATTCGAAATAGCCGGGTGTCATCCTTTTGTCTAGTACTTCACTTTTTCGATTGTTGCGCTAAGTCGACATCTCAAAACCGTACAAGTTGTGTATTTTTTAACGGTCCATAGTTAGATTAATCCGAATTCGTTCACTTTTGCAAATTCCTAAGCAGTGATCACTAATTGAGCTTTGTAAGCCGTCCGGGACCAGACAAAATATTTTGTCAGGACGTCTAAGAGCAGTTTGGACAGTAAAGAAGGGGGAGGCTTTGCGAACGTCCAGATATTCACTAAAAGCACTTGACTTAAAAACCGAATTTGTTTAATCCTAATCTAATGTCCCTGTCAAATCTCTTGAAACTATCGTTGCTAACCGTCCTCGATGCCTTGCGACATTACTAATCCTCAGTTGACTAAAATTTCCAGACACAACATCAATTTCATCGTTACCCATCCAGATGAAAACGTGGCTGAAAGTGGTGGAATAATGCGGACATAGGGATATACTGATCGCATGTTGTGACACCAGTGGCTGTTAATCAAAACGGAGAATTCCTTCAACTATTGCGATTGTTGAGACGGAACACGTTTCCGATCTTTGACATTACGATCGAGCTTGATCACCTTTAAGGTGGCTTAGCTGTATCCTCTGTAAGAAGTGTGCCTTACTCAATGAATGCAGGTGTTGTGCTAGTCAACATAAAATGTGAACCTTGATCACCTGATGCTCATGTGTGCAACAAACTTTTGTGCTTACGCTTTCATCCATTGGTCATGGTAAAACTCGACTACAGTGACTAACTCTCCACATTCAACATTTGGTCGATTCGGTTAAACTTCTGCTGGAACATTACGGTGAGGGAGTAGCATATATATGGAATGAAAGTGTTCAAGTATTGTGCACAGGCCTGATGGAGACAGCTACAGATGCAGTGTTTCCACAAAGTAGTATCACACGTTTCTTCCCGAATTCATGAATATACATAAACCACGTATCATGACGCTCTTTAAGCTATGGAGGGATTACGGCATTTTCTACACAAGTCATCCACCCGAATGACTGTTTCTGACCAATCCTTCCAGAGGTCACTGCTGCAGTGTAGTCGACTGGTTCTCACGATAGACTGCGTTTTGGTCAGTTCTTTTCACTGATACATCAACCGTTATTGTCCACAGGCGTGACTCTGAACATCTCACGCCAGATCATCTGCCTTTCGGATGGACGGTAACCAGAAAGGAGTGAGTGGGTTAGAACATATTTTCCTTCCTCCAAAGTGCGAGTAGGACTGAGAATTGAACAAATGTAGTTTCTGTACCGGGGCACTCTTATTTCCACTTTAACCTATGTTCACTACTGTCTGTTGAGTGGCCTTTTTGAAGCTTTCTCGAAGAGTTTGCACACCCACCGTTTATAAATGGCTTTCAAATCGACGACGAGAGCTGTACAACTTTCCATTAGTTCGTAGATGTTTTCTCTCAAGAGCATATGTCTATTTGAACAGGCCAAGTGCTGAGCCAGCGGGCGCTCGAGAAGTGCTGCGCTCACTTTGGTCTAACTTTTCACACTACTTACGGAATACGCGTTTTCACATGCTTTTTTGGTTTGCCTGTGTCGGTTTCAACACCATACTTAACTATGTTTCGCTGTAGTAAAATGACTCAGTTGCAGGCAGTTGTTCACCTTTTATTTCATTTTTTTCGAGTAATCCCCGTCATCCTTGTCCACTCGGCAGTGGATATTTGAAGCTCTCAATAGGTGGCGCCTGAAACGAGCACACCAGAGAATATGCTTTGAGTCACATTTGTCTCTTCTTGTTTATTCACCCCGATATTATCTACCGACAAATATAAACTATCGGTCAAGCCGATCATAATCCTTTTACAGTTTCATCCTCTCCTCTTATCACAAAAAGGCGAGCACATAATCAACGCTCGGAAAAAATACCAGCAACTTAAAAATATGGGACAAACAGGAGAAAAATCTGCCCGAACAAAACCCAATGAGAAGCACATAAAAACTACATGTCACATGAATGTCTGATAGAATTTTCAGCACAACAGTCGGAACTACAATTACACAAATCGCAGTGTTGTTTCAGAATGTTGGGTTTCAGACAATGCGAACTAGGTGAATTTCAGTACTAAATCATGTCCATTTCAGGTGACTTTCATGGCCACGTTGGGATTTTGGATTCGAACAACGATCTGAATACTTCCTTTTACTCGATATTGCATGTATCCATCTTTGTAGTTCATTACGGGTGGATCTTAATCATACTGTCAGATCGATGTGCGAGAATATTCAAACTGATCAAACATGTCGTGGTGAGAGTAGATTGTTGCGTCTGGTTCTACGTACCATTCGAAAGCCATGGTTGGATTTTCCAAGTCAGACCACCTCCCTACTCTGCTTTCCTCGAAAGCTGTCATGGTAGATTGACTTCCGGTTATGATGGAAATATGATTCTGCATTTTCATGTCATTTTGGTTCTGCTAGGAGCATTTTATGCGCAGCCTATCCAAGTGTGATTGAGCAACGGTCTTTGGAGAGGATTTGTTCGTTAAATAAATTACTTTGGCCACAACGTAAGTTAGAATTATTGGTTGAAATTATTTCAGCCGAATTGTAGCTTCGCGTTGCCACACTGGCGATTCCTTGCCCAACAATCATTAACTTTGATTTTGCAGCTAATAATAACAGAGGTAATAATCAGCGGTACCCCCTTCAAGAAATGTCTAGCTATGTTGTCTGCAATTTATCCAACCAAACTTTCGTCTGGTTGGATAAAGCTACATAAAAACGCTTTGATAATTGTCATTCATGGTTATCTTTGCACCCCCCCCCAGCAACACCACCAGTCATTTAGTTTTTTCTAGCTTCTGAGGGAAATAAAAGGTAAACAGAACCTTACTACCTCTTCATTAGACACAGTCTGAAGAGCACCGCATTATTCCTTCATGATTTTTAACGACTCAGACGAAAACAAACAAACCCGACCACATCAAATAATCGTAGTATCAGAAAATTTGTTTCAGAAAAGTATATCGAAATGATAGATATGGAAACCCGAGGAAAGACCACACCCGGGGAAAGCCTAACTATCTCCTTTCTCTGAGCTATTTATTTGTGATCACTCCATTGGGATACTTGTTCTCGTACACACAGTTTGGACATGAAAATATTTCTCGCGTTTTCCATGGGAAAAACGCACAGATTTTAGAGGACTATTCGTGTTGTAAAATTTCGCTAAGCGACTTGTTCATTGCACTGTTTTTCTTCATCTTTGAGAGGAAAGCAGGTTACAATGTGATCTTTCGAACATAGCGAGTTGTACTAGGCTGGTCGTTTATCGCTTGCATGACAACACGAATATCAGGATATTTGAAAGTTTAAACAAAATTTCGAGTTTTGTTGGACACTGTTAAGTTTGACTGAATTGTGCTTACAATCCCCCTGTAGCAAAAAGCCGGAAGTACTTGGAAAATTCAAACGTGAAAAACGGCGATCATCGGCTAGTATCAGAGTGAACTTGAACGATAATTGCAAGTGCAATTACACTAAATTAGAGCCGTTCGGTCTCGGTGTTTTTGTTATCGCCTAAACACGTGCAATCTTCTATAAATGACATTGTTTGAAAAATGCCTAATGTTCGCTTTGGACATGCATACGTCTCGTAGTCTTGCTTCCTACTTACACAAACTTATGTTCTGTTCAATAAGACCAGATTAATAGGATTTGCGCTTAACTCGCCAAAATCAATAAAGGCTGAATTTTGTTTTGGTTTGAACATACTGTGTTTTTAATTCTAGAGTGTTCCAAGTGACATTGTTGCCTCTAAAGAAATGCCAGAAGGGACTATTTTAGGAGAAGGCGCAGTCTTCGGGCTCTGTAAATAATTTTTATTGCGCTACATGGAAGCCTTCCAGCATAAATGCTTTGAAGCGGAGAACGGAGTTATAGACTGTAGTTGGAGATATTTCTTGGTGTGACTGCATATTGCTGGTTGTATACAAGCTAAATGCCGAGTTTTCACATCATTTACGCGATGTTACCAACGCAGCTATGCGTATAATAACTTTCAGAATGCGCTCATCACGTTGGAATACCGGTCCAACCTTTACAATCACCTCGAAGCTTCGATCGGACTATGATAAACGATGGGAGAATTTAGGAATACGAGAGCTCACCCATGTGTTCAAATGTGTCAAACCCATGGTTCTTGGTTTGTTTTTTTGTTCGATCTAATGTACTATCATACGTATTAGACGCTATTCAGTTCTATGGAAAAGGCAAACCCATCGCATAAGAGAGAGGGGAAAAGGCTGGCCTATACTTAACATTTCAAATACCTATAAGACCACCATACAACATGTTCTCGAATTTGGGGATCTGTGTCCCTAAACGGTGCGTGAGCTATGTCTTATCCCGTTGAATTCAGACAGTGAATGTTAAAATATCTATCAAGCGGGATTTTCAATGTTCTGTGACGATTTCGGCCATGTTGAAAGCGTTATGGGTCGTAACCCTTTGTCAACATTGAGAAAGAAACCAAAATGCATACCAAAGGTATGACTCAAACGGAGAACACAGGACTCTGAAACCTTTGCAATTGTTTGCGCCTTCCTTCTTCAGAAGCCCTCGAGAATATAACAAATACGACTAATGACAACTGTGCGTGCAAAAGTGATAATTTGCTTCTGTGTTGCTCATTATTCCCCATGATTGTTGAAAAAAGTGCAAAACGCATGGGACAAAAAAGCGTCTTCTAGAAAAGATTGCTAGGTAGGTTTTGTTCACTTGCGCCTCCGATGTCCCCTGGGGGTAAGAGTGTTCAAGTACAAAAGAACGACAAGTCAAGTTTGGCAAACGGTCGATAAATTCATTGACGATTTCTGAACAAAACATCTTCAGGCCAAGTTACCAAAATGGTTACTCAAATAAGGGATATGAGGAACAATGCTGCCCAATATTACGGCGTTCACGACAAAAAACTTTAGCAGGTGGCTTAATGCGCAGGTGTACCTCAGATAGCTAGTCCAGCTCTATCAAGCGTCATACCCAGACTATTAATAGTTGTCATATGAAAAAAACAACACGACCAATGGAGGCGGAAATGAAAGCAGAAAAATCTGTCCTAAGATATCCAGTTGTCAGCGACCTACAACATAATTTGCTGACTGGTTGGGGGAAGTAACGTATATGCTAGATTGTCCCATAGGATGTGTTCGCTTATACGAGAGGCATCGGTTCCCGGGATTGATTTTCTAATGGAGCAAGAACGTTGTAGTCACAAAATCCGCCAATGGCGCAGATGATTTCGCCCATTCTTCCCAACATTATACAGAAATTTTATATCCTAGAAGGGCAACCATTTTAGCAACTGTAATTTAATTGCAATATGTTTTCGGTTCACCCCTTTGAGTTGCTTGCTAATCGTTTCATTGTAAATTTTCGGATATGGACCCATTTTCCTCTATAAAAAACACCAGACTAGGCGATTTCAGTATTGTCTCTTTGTACGCAGTCGCCCGATGTGCGTAGTATTTTGGCGCCTGTTCGAATCGGGCATCGGGCCAGGACGTTTAGTTTTCCGTAAATTGCGTAGACCGAACACACCGAGTACGGCGGTATTCAGCTCAAATGGGAAACTGGTAACAAAATATGGTATGGACACATGCATGGATTGCTGCACAGGGATCATACAGATGCCGTCAGTTACAGGGGGGAAGTAACCGACGAGAGTATACATACATGCACCAGGAAAGCAAACAAACGATGATCCATGGTCCTACCACCAAGATCCTGCATCATGTTATGGTTTCATACTACTGTTAAGTAGTTTGGTAATGTTGGGGCGATTATTCAAATATGCACGTAAGACAGTCTGATGGTCCTGTGAGTAGCAGAAACTGGTGGCAAGTCCAATACCCAATCGGACGAGTGAACACAAGGCTGCAGTAAAAGCTACTACCCTGGTGACAATTTCATTCACATTTAAAGTGCTTTATTAACTGATTGTCAACAAACGGAGGATCAGATAGTTGCTTTCTCATTACAGCGTGACAGCAGGAGACTGTTGTTCGATTAAGGTTTCGAACCTCGCCTCTGCAGCTTGGTTCCACATAGGCCATTGGTGTTCTCAAGCACCTCAAATAACGTATGTTATTGAGACACCAATGCTGCCTTCACAATATTGTGGGCTGTATATCAACTTAACCATAGACCTTTGGTTACATATTTATTCACTAGGGAATAATTGCGGCATTTTACGCATTCTCCTCACAGCTGTTATTCTGACACCATTCTATTTTGTCCAAACATCATCCATTCTATTTTGTCCAAACAACATCCATTGGTTTCCTTTCAGAACGAACAAATTGCTGCCATTCTGATTGCTGTTACACTGTTGGCCATATTGACAATCTGCATTGTCATACTCATTATAAGGACAATGAGAAACCGTCCGACCCCACACTATACCGTGAGTATTTTGAGAGTTTGTTTCCGTATTAATGCTCTGGTTTCTAAGTGATTTGACCAACCAGTGTACAAGGTGTTAGTTAATGGTGTCTAGCGGGATAGAACAACTGGCTTTTGTTTTCATCTTTCGACACGTGGAGCGTTGTAGGCAGTCCTCAAATCGAGCGAATTATATAAAAACCGTATCTCCGTTTTTATGTACACAGTTGCACAGAAGCCATGACATGTGTGGGTAATGGTTCAAGTTTAATATGGCTTCTTGCTCACTTATCGGTAAGACTGGGAGAACTATCAGTCTCTCGGGTTTTGTGCTTTGCCCAGGAAGAAAGGTTTACTAAGAATATAAAAAGCCTTGTCTCCATTGTCTTTGTTTACCGGAGCTGAAAATTTACCCATGTTGTAGCATCCATATCAGAGGTTGAACCAATCTGTTTAGTTCCTTAGGTCAAAACTTAGCGGGAGGGGACTTGGTAGTGGAGTTTGGGTATATGAATAACAGACAATTTTAGAGGCTTTCAAACTTGCGCCAAAAATGTGGCTAAGTGTCTAAAAGTCTTATTTATGGTGAACTGTGCTCTAAATGTAACGAAAAACACCGTTTAGATGTACGGTTTGCACAAAATATGAGGCAAATGCTCTTGTTACCAACTTACTGGTAACACCTCCCACACGAAATTATTTTTGTTCGATTTTCACAGTGTTGTACCGCAACAACTTTTATAGAGCTAACTCAACGGTTTTTATGAGTATGGCCTCAACAAAAAGTCCTTTTGAGCAAATGTACCACTCTTTAGGAAATTTATCCTCCTATCGTGGTATCAGTATTCCAACTTGTCCAGCAGATTCGAGTCTAGCTGCTTTTGAAGTTTGTCAATATTGCCCATCCTTAATCGACGAACTCCAGTTGTATGACTTTATGCAAGAACTTCACCAGCGCATACGTCGGTTATCTGGATTATTTCATCTGATGGTGTGACGTGCATACTTTGTCGAATATACTGGGTTGATTCAGTCTCCCCTTTCAAAAGTTTCTTGTCAACTAGCACCATGGACAGTATACGCTTGCTGGACCACTTATGTCATAAATTAAGAACAACACAGATGCTCATGAATATACGGCCACAACTTCTTATTTCGCCCATGATTCAAAAGTCTTCATGGTGTTTTATTCACACCTCATTAACTCTCATTCCCTGGCGGCATTTTTTAATTGATCAATGTTCACTTTCCTCTGCCCATCCTCTGCCGATAAACGCTCGTTTTCCCGGCACCAATGACATTGGAACCTTTGCGATACACAGGAAGGTGTTCAAACCGTTCATCCTTTCCGTCTTTCATGGTCACCCAGGATCCCTGTAGCTCGTGCATTGGTGTTTTTGTATAGAAGATACAGTATTGCTAAGCCATAATGTTTTCGTTCACAATCAGTTAAAACGAAAAAAACGAGTAAAAATGTAAACATTTTAAGCATACACGTTTATCTAGCTAGCCATTGTACCGGTGGAAGCCAACAAACTGCACAAAACTAGTAATACACATACTTTTCTTACTTCCGGATACTACTAAACTTCACGAGGTATTGGCCTCCCTCTCTGGCGCTTTCGTTATAGATCTTTCACAAACTGCGATCACTCTGTCCGAGCTTTGATACCACCTCCAAATGCTGTTACATAATGTTTGTCTTAACCAACGAAAAATACTGCCTAAAGTTGCGTAACTCCCTACGGGACCATTAGTATAGCACCCATCGTAAACTGTGAGTGACAAACACACCTACATCTGTTCTATCGTTCTACCATTTCCGAGGAAATGGGGATACGTCTAGTGGATGAACTTACACAACCACTCCGCCAAGATGTGAAAGCAGGAATTTTCAACCTGGTGGAGTATGGGAAAATTGCAACGATTCAGAAGTATGATATGTTGGCTGACGAAAGTAATCCAAACAGCGGCGTATTTCTTTTAAGGCTACCTATTAATTACCCCATGTTGTATAAACCATGCTAGTGTGTTGCTCATAGATTCAGTTTGTTTCCGATACTGAGCAGAAGGCGGCCAGTCCATGTGAATCCTGTAAACCTAGTTTTGTAGTTATCTAAGTCTGGTTTGTTTGTGATTTGGACTGCTATTTGGTATTTGAAAGACAATAGATGGTGCTTTTGCAGTGATGTAAAACTGTAGCCTAATGACTTGTTCGCACAGTGGTGCAACAACTTCATTGAAAGGATCATTTTCTGGCACAGGTGCCTATGACGGTACATTGCGTTTCTACTTTGCATTCCACGTGGACGAACTACTTTCTGCACAGTGTTGTTTTTGCACACTGGAGAGTTATTTTCCCCTCCTAAAATTTCGACCAAAGTTCATGCTTCTATAAATCTGAAAAAGTGAAACGATCAATAAATTGGTCACCAGGCACCGCTCAATGAATAAGCCTTGATCGTTTGTAGACTAACATGGGCATTCGTCCGTTCACAACTACTCACTGGACGGCGCCAGGTCGTTGAAATGTTCTACACTGAGTAAGTCAGTTCCTTTTCAAAACCGACCAGAATAGTGACTACAGTGTGGCGCCTGTGAAATAACTCTCCCTTAGGTAGAATTGTAATAATCCGCAGTATACCTGAACAAATTAAAGGGTCATCAGGGCGCTGTTATTCACAACTCGCACTGACGAAACTAAGCATACGTCTTTTGGCACATGTGTGCACATTTTCTCGGTCAATAACGACACAGTTGTATGTGAAACAGTGAGACAAACAGTTCAACTTCGGCTGCACGTACACCACAGCTTAAATGATGTAGTAAGGTCTCGCAGTCTCCGTGGGCTTGTTTGGCAATACCCACTCAAAGTTCTTTAGTAGGAGACTCAGAATCATCCACGGATACCCATCCTAGTTGATTTGGATGCAGTAATGCTGTCAGTTTCTATGTCACATACATTATATCGAGTCCTACCAATTGATTTCATTTGTATAGAAAATCTCGATGATTCATTTCCGCATTGATTTGGCGTTATATGCGTTGGAGATGTAAGTCCAATTATTTATTGACACGCCAGGTGAGCAGATTTCATGCACCGACGAATACGGAAGACACAATGCCGGAATTAAACGGTATTGCAAAACTTTCACGCATAGCATCACGGGGAGCATTGCGACATTACCTCTTAAAGTTGTTTACTCCATGGTTGACAGATTTTGCCGCACTATTAAGAGCGAGCACGAAATTCTTGAATAGACTATTCGATTGTGGATTTCCCGACGCCAAAAGTATATTATGACATCCAACACTTTCAACCTCTCCTTTACTTTCGCCGCGACCGAAAAAGTTCCATTACCAGCAGCCAGTACATGCAGCATATCATATCGTCTAAGCAGTTTTTTTAATGTTCGAATTATGAGGAGTGAGTCCGTAGTCTTAGTGAATTGCTCCTCTGGCCACCGAGGATAAGAATCAATGGGAAACAAAGCCCAGTGTCCATTCAAAAGTGGTTCTTGGCAGAGAGTATAAATACTCTGCCACGCCTCACTGGACATTGATCACGTAGTTTACTTTGAAACTTGGGCATGCTACCTAATCAAGCATTGTGCACGGCCTTAGGTATGTGGCACAATACCGTCATCAATTCTTGGCTGCCAAAAAGTGGGGCGGGCTAACAACCTCATTTTTTCAGCGCTTACGTGATCAGGGTTCATATCATCAAAACAACCGGCTTACATAATGGGGGTTGCTCAGACGTAATGAAGTGTCGGTTGCGACTGCTAAATTCTCTCCAAGAATAAAGGTCTTGGTGACATCTCGCAATAGATCTGAACTTATTTGATGAATACTCACAGAAGGGGATTAAACAAGCGTGCAGTTGAATGGGCAACGTTCCTTGGAGTATCCACGTTGAGAACATCTCTGTCAGATCAATGCTGGATATCATAATCCTAAGAAGCTAGGGATAAGTAGCGGGGTTGAGGCAGTGCTTCTGGGGGCTCAACGTGAACTTTCCTGTTCAGGTGTGGTCACGCTGAATGTCAATGATGCAGGCGTAATAAGGAAGTACTGAGGATGGCCTAAATAATGCTTTAAAAACCTGATTGTTAAAGTCGAGTGTGGAACGAAGCGCCTGCCCCTAAATGCTGTACCACTTAAAAATTCCAGATGATAGAACTATGGACTGCACAGTTGTGGAACTTTGAGCAGTACCGCAGAAAAATGACTGATTATCTTCCAACCAACATGATATGCATGGTCCTAACCCCGACAAAGAGAGAGAGATAGAGCAATCTGATACCGCCATGTTTAAGAAATCATTCAAGACATTTATTGGGTGTGTTCTTTCGACCGGTGCTAACATTAAAGCCACAATAGCTAATCCAAGTTCTTCGAAGCTTCTTCTCATGGAGGTCCTCAGCTTTTGCATAAACAATCATATTATCTTGATACATTCCACCCCATCCAAAATCTTTGATGATGGAATTAGTGAACTACTGAAAAGTGTCTAGTAAAATTCTCAGAACGAGGGGCAAACATGTGTACATAAACAGGTCAAAATGAGTATCGCTAGTGGTAAGCACACAGGAGTTATCATTTTGGATATTTGTAGGTATGCATCTTCCATGTCGATACGAGGTAGAAGAAACCTAGACTACCGAAAGCTGGCTGTTTAATAGTACGTATCCAATATTTTAGCTTGATATTCCTGGTGATCTTGTTGTCGCCACAGGTTCCAGAACTTTCACCGTCAGAGTTCAAGGGGGTCACAGTAGGCCTAGTTCGTTTCGAAGAACCGATGGGTTCTTTGACACTGGCACTGGATTACGTGATCCATCAGATAGAACATGCCATTTAACAAAACATGGCTTCACGTGAGGAATTTCCATAACACGAGAAGTTCTGAAACCATTCACAGTCAAGTTTGTTGATGATACATTTAGTCAACACAATAGGGATATGGAAATATTAATGTAGCGAAATGCACTCATTTGCACACCAACTTGGTTTAATGGGATGCTCAACTAAATCTCTTGTTCTGTTCTTCAAATGAACTTGCTGCACCAGGCCACCACATTATCCAGTTGGCACGATACACAGTACCGCAATACATTGTACAGATCTAACATACTAGTTACAAGTTTGCTAAAAACTCTTCGGAATCCGACGACCGGTTTACCTCTCCCTGGGACTTAGTGAATAACAGCATTCTTCGGGTTTCTGTCAACCTTATGTTTCATTTGAATCCAAATTGCACGAAATGATAAACGAGAGACTCAGTTGGGTCTCTGTGAAAACCAAATCAGTGTGGTTGGGGGGAGAGACGTGAACTGCACCTACCTGATGAGCATCAAGAAGTGCAAAACCGGTCACAGGGTGTCGAGAAGTTCTCAGCAACCTTATGAATAGTGTGTGAAGTCGATATGAAGTATTAATATTTTCCTAGAGAAAAAAACTAGAATGGAAAATCTCTTCTGACTTGTCAACAAAGAGACTGTGCACTGACAGCTAATGGGTACGGTGTGACCCTCAACAACAATTTCAGCTGTGCAATAACAAGAATGGAAGACTCGACACTTTCAGAATCCACAGTGAGTTTATGATGAACTTACGCCCATCGACAAGGTGACCAAGGAGAAACTCCTAAATGTTCCGCTAATCTCTTCATCGATTTGATAAAAGTATTCTTGTTCCCCTGTTTGAAAATTTTCCGGTTGAAAATAAGCGAACGGTGTATGTTTGATGTCGTCGTAGTTCTGCTCCATTGGCTTTGTCCGAGAGGAGGGATGTTTTTTGAACGAATTGGCATCCTTCCTCACAACACAAAAGATAGCTTTCCTTTCAAGCATTGAATTGTGAGCGATACATTCAAAGCCTTCATGTTGGTCCTCAACATCTGATGAGAGTCCTTTTAAATCCATATTTTCAAAATCACAAGATTGTATGTAGCCCCAAGACTCCAAACCGTGATATTCAAAGTTATGTATAGATGATTTCATTCAGTAATAACAAGCCTGCTGTTATTCTGAGGTCGTAATGATGTACACAGCCACACATATGTTTGTACACATGCATATGTGTGAACTGCTCCAGTTATACACAAAATACAAGGTAAACGGTTCAGTCGCAGTCACCAAGAAAATGTTGAATTTATTGCTGAATGTCTAACCCAAATCTAACGTTCCTTTTCCACACACTTGTACCCTTGTCCATGATCTTGCACCTTGTCCTCGCGTTATAATCACAGTCATTGAGCGTATTTTGAAAAAGTGACGTACGTGTCCCGTCGAAATGAATTTTCATGTAGTGGCGCCGTGATTTTGTAGTTCAATGCAGTTTCATCCGTCTCGAACCGAACAAAAAAGAAAGCCAGGGCGTTTTTACGGTCCGAATAAATGTGTGCCAACAAGCACTATCAACTGCACCTGTTTATGCAAAGCACTGCGCAATAAGTGAAGCGAATTACGATGGTTTGAAAGTGTGTGCCTAGCCTCGGAGCGCAAGATATCTTCGGAAAATCTCATTATTTTGTCGCAAGTGTTTTATGGATGACCAGGTTCTGTCCGCGCCTAGATCTCGGGCTTCGGTAAAGGGCAAATTTGAGTGAAAACAAGCCGTACCACGCCCTTCAGCGCAAATCTAGTGTTAACGAGTATCTCTCAAAGGAATTCACGTACAGCTTTATCCTTCTATGATTCAGCTGGGCTTTTTATTGAAGCACATGTAGCTGGATGTGACTTGTTCATGGTCTAGTACTTTTAGGTTGTACCTACTCCTGTTTGTAGCTGGTGAATTCTCTTCATCCTCAATAAAATCTGTGAAAACGATTATTCATGTTCGCTTGTAGTGAACGCAACGCCAGGCGCTTCTTTTTTCAGCACAGTTCTGATCACCAGTCGAACATTTGTGCACAGGTTTTCATTTCCGTAGCTCCAGTCATTGGCTCATGGGTAGACTGGTTTGTCGATCGATAGTTGCAGTGTCGATCACAACTAACCGTATGCAGTCAACTTTCTCCGAATTAATCGATCTCATCCACGGAGATAATGACGCATAAGCTGTGGCTGCGCGGCGAAACCCTCAACTTGCTCGTAATCGTTTTCACCGTTAATCAGGGGTGGTTAATATTGCCATTTAACTAACTGTAACATGCGGCCACTTGGTATTTATGCTTTTACTTTATATGGCACAGTTGCTTCTCTGTTCTTCAGCATGAAAACTAAATCATCTGATGTGCTTTTCACCAACATTTCAGTCTAAACATCCGTGACCTTTTAAAAACCACCTGCTTTCAATCCAAGGAACCTATTTTCTCATTGAGGAACATTTTTGGAGTCCGTGAAATGTGTTAAGTAGAGGTGTTCATTGGGACACAACTTTTGCCTCAATCTGCATTTATAGTTGACAGAGCTTGTTGTACACAGCCCAGTTGACCCAATTTACGAACAGAGGTTCTTGGTCCGGGCAGATGTAAAAGCAAGCGGTAGGAACTGGACTTGTGAGCTTGAAGCACCTCCGGGAATCTTGCCAGTTTCGGCTCTTTACGATTGAGGATAAGCACATCTAAACAAGGATATTTTGGGTGGGCGAACCGAAGATGAGTTAGGACTACTGGACTCCATGAACAAAAACCCCCGCACGAGGCCCCCTTGACAAAGACCGATGGAATAACCTGGTCGATCTGGCTCTTTCCGGGAGAGAGGTTCATACTACAAAAATCGAAGGGATATCTAGCCATTTGTGTGTGACATCAAAAGGGTACGTGGGGTAAATAGCCAACCTACAGGGCATCTCCAATGTCTATTTGCACCCGAAAGTATTTTTTCTGTATTCACTTCTCTTCGACATCTTTCTTGCAATGAGCACTGAAATATGCTACCTTACAGATATCAAGTCTGCGCTAAAAATGCCATGCCAGCCGATAAGTTCAGGAAGGAATACCAGCTATCTCATTCTTCGTACACCCAGCTTTAGTCAAGATAGAATGTTTCAGTGAATTTAAATCGTGGTTACGATGACAAGCAAGCCAAGATAGGGCATACGCAACTTTCGCCTAGTCAGCTGATTTCTTAACCCGAAACCTGTCAAGCGAACCAATGTAAAACTGAAACCGGAAGGATTCAAACCGACTGTTCCAAACTTTCTGGCGGACGAAAGTATACGAAGAGCTCTAAAAAGCTTTTGTACACAAAGCGATGTCCGCGGGGGTACCTACACCCTCCAGTTCTATTTAACATCGTGATAGATGAGATTATGAACAGAAGAAGGTGCATTTGTTTTGGATGAACTGACCAAAGTCATCCCGTCCTGTAGCATGCACTTTGCACCCATTGTCGCGCTCCTGGGCACTTAACATGCCACTCAAATCCAGAGCGAGGCACTCAAAGTTGCGGGGCGTTTTACTTATCTTGTAAGTTTTATTAGTTCCGGTTGTAGTGTGACAGTTGAGGCCAGTCCACAGATCTCCAAGGCTTGGGGTCACGTTTTCTAATTTGACACATATGGGTCAAAGCGATATAGCCCTACATTTGAAGAGACGTGTGTATCAGGCTATAATGTGGGCTTTTTAGTTGTACGGCTGTGAGACTTGGCCTGTTCGAGCAAGGGAAGGTTAGTAGCGACGGTTGTCTCAGAACCATAGCTTGTAAGGTTTGGCGTTGGCGAACCTCTAAGAAGGCAGTTAGAAAACCAGTTTTTGGTTGTGCAACGGGGACTTCCATTGAAGTATGTGCTCAGTACAGGAAGCTGTGTTGGTTAGGTCATGCATTGCGCATGCCCAACCATCGTTTTCCGGAGAGAGTGCTGTTTTCCGTGCCAAGTACAGAAAGACCAACTCTTGACATGCCAGAGGGGTATGAAAGAGATTTTTTTAAAAATCTGTGTGCTGCCGGTGCGACTCGCCTTTCAGGATAAGGACCGAGTGATCCCCACTGTGCCTGGTAATTTATGTCAATAGCGTCCTCGTTGTCAGTTTCCATCCCAATTGTCTCAGTGAGTGTCTGAAGGTGTAGGCACATCGGAATGATTGTGGTAGACTGACAATCTAGTTTTTATCGTCAGTTTTATTGTCAAGGTAGGGTCGTGCACGAATTCGTGCGGGAGCCGTGGATTGGCTTGCATTCACATATATCAGCGCGCCCGTCCTTGTTTGCTACTGCCATCCCCTGCCCCCCCCCCTCGAACAGTCTTCACAGAGAGAGACTTCAGATCTGCAATGCTGGTACACCCAAGGCCATTTTGAATGCTCTCAATCTGACTGAAGGTGGGTATTGTGAAGTTCATAAAATGATATTTACTCTATGGGTTTAGAAGTGATGATTGATGTCCTGTACCAAAGTCCATCAAGAAACTCAACCGGCGACCTCAGAAAGCAAAAGTGGATATCGCAGGCAGTGGAGCAGGTGGTGGGGAGACTTCAGATCTGCAATGCTGGTACACCCAAGGCCATTTTGAATGCTCTCAATCTGACTGAAGGTGGGTATTGTGAAGTTCATAAAATGATATTTACTCTATGGGTTTAGAAGTGATGATTGATGTCCTGTACCAAAGTCCATCAAGAAACTCAACCGGCGACCTCAGAAAGCAAAAGTGGATATCGCAGGCAGTGGAGCAGGTGGTGGGTGTTTCCAAAACTCCTGTGGAATGATCACATCTGTGTCGCGCAACTTTGTACAGTTCGACGCTTGTCGAGGGTCTGCACAAATCGATATTGGATTGGAGCCCATGAACTAGGAAAAGAGGCCGAAGACACGCTCGAGGAAAGACTCTCAGGGATCTTCTAAGATCCACAAGCCGTCCTAGGCATGACCATACTACAGTAAACACTAGCATCACATCAGGGAGCAACTAGCGTACTCTGTCAAGTCTTGAACGTTCCAGCAGAGTGCGGCGCTAGCTTCGTTCGATATTGTACAATCAAGCCCGAGGCATGTTATGGTTATGAATGAAAAACAGGTCCTTTGTCAACAATTGTAAACAGGCCTCCATCTGTTTGTCGGCGTTCCATGATTGACATAAAACTATAGAGCTCGTCACCGATTTTGCTCATACGTGTGTACAACCAAGTTGACCATCTTGATAATGTTACTTATGACTTTATGTACATCATGAGTCACTTGAGAATAAGTTGTGCATTTGCAATTATCGAAACACGGTAAGTTTCGAGGTGTGCTACACTTGCATGTGTGGCGTATCATCAAGTACCAGAACCGGATTTTCTCACGATCTGAATCAAAACTAATGTTTTTAGGCTCAATTAAGGTCAATATCTACGATGGCTTTGGTCTTCTTTGATCTCCCGGACCATCATTCATTTGTTTCGGAATGCGATCCATGTCATGCCTAACTCAGACTGAAGTAAAAAAATAGGCGCTACTTTGTTGTAAAGTTGTTTTTACTTGCGATAATCGGAAGCATTATTCTTGCTGGTTGGAACTCGACAGCTTCAGGGTCTGACAAGCTGGATCCGCCAAAAACCTCAAGCGGCCCACAAAATCACCCGTAAAAACTGTCGCAATCCAATTAAAACGGTTACCTTGAGCGAGTGCTTGGTGAAATTTTCAAACTGACACTGAAGTCTTCGTGTGAAACTTCACCACGAATCGGATGGTGTTCTTAATGAGACCGGGATGGCTGTTTCCGACAGCTCCACCAACATGTACAGGACCAGTGTTTTCTATGATTTAGGCAAACGTCCGCAGTGCAGAGTTCCGAAATCAACATAATTTATATATGCATACAAAAATGTATGCATAAATATATCAATATATCAACACGAAACGTTTCGCCAGCCATTGAATTATCCCCATGCTTATGAGTTTTACTATGCTGTGTCTCGGTAGACTCCACTTTGGCCGTTTTTCTGGTGTAAAAACATCCTCTGTGTTTGATTACATCCATTTCATAATGATGGTCTGGATTTTTCATAAAGGAAACTACTCACAAGGTTGCTGAAAACTCTTCGACAGCCCACAGCCGGTTTTGCCCTCCTTGGAGTTCA